TGGGAAATCGGTTATGAAAAGAATCCCTTTCAAAGTTTCCATCGATCAAATATGTTCTTGCCTCATCACCCGATTTCAATATATACTAAAAAGCGTATATGATATTTTTAAGACAAAATAGCTTTGATGATACTAATAGTTGTTGAAAAAAACCTACTCAATCGTTCAAACAAATGGGTTGTAATTCCCTCGGTGTAATTAGTAGGAAGTGTCATTGTTCTCAATGCCAATTGTAATACTTTCAGGTTGTGTCTTTGAAGCTATTGATATATTGATAGGGTATGTTTATATGCACATACCCTTAAGATGAAACCATAATACAACATACTGATCATCTAGACCGATTAATAATAGAACATAATAAATTTACCCTGTTATTTCAGCCCAAAGTTTCGAAGTATTACGGATGCATTATGTACTAGGCCCTTTCCTCTCTGTCTCTTGTTTACATAAACGAAATCCATGTTATATTTATAGCACGACTTTCATGAGTTAACAGGTTTGACCACAGGCGCCGTAGGCCGAGGTGTTAAACCTGTTAACGAATGAAGCGTGTTCTAAATGTCTTGTAACATTGATATATGCTCAACATGCTCGTTGTTATTGCGCAGAAAACCCATCCCACTTCTCTATATGATTTCTACTAAAACTAGCGTAAACCAGTAAAAGTGTGTAATAACATTGAAAATGTCTAGTTATTGCACGGTTATTGTCCACCCATCCTGTTAGAGGGAAACAATCTGCTTTATTAAACAATTCGAGACTGGAACTCTTTAGATTCATCAACAAAGACAATATAAAATATCAAAATGTTTAAAAAGATTCCAAGACAATAAAGGTTCCGAATTATCACGCGAGCGGTAATAGAAAATTGAGTATTTTACACACAAAACATCGTCATGGTTCAGTTCCCTCATCTCGGATCTATTTTGGGATAAACTTAAACTTGTGGCGCGTCATCCGATTTTCCCCTTGCAACTTCCGATTTCGATTTTTTATTCGTAAGGTTGAATACTCATATTGAATTTAAAAGAAGACGCTAAATCCTTCAGTGAGGTTCTTTGGATATGTATAAAAATTACTTTCATAAATCAAATATTTAAAATTTTTTACATTGATGGAAATTTATATCTTCCATTTTTTTTTTCTTAACAATTGTACTATTTATAACTGTCAATTACAATGTGTGTGGAGAGGGCATCGGTAAGTTTTCGCAACTTTTGTTCCAATCCGTCTGTAATAAATGTTCGTCTGTCGTCGTCGACAATGAACAGGGCTAAACGAAGCTGATTGGAATCGGTGTGTCCGGAGGTGACTGCTCAGTCCGATTCGAGCACGGAAATAACGTCCACAGGTTGGACATCTATAGTCTGCCCTAACATTCCTTGCAGCTTGCTTTTCTTGTGCAGATTGAATACGTGACTCCTCTGAGATGCTACATCCAGTTTTGATGTTCTACGCCAGACTGTACGGTCGAGCTTTCTCTGACCTAGCTCCAACGGTTCACTTGCCAGACGCTAATTCCACGTAGAGGAGTTGCTTCGGAATTCTGGTGTCAGACATCCGATACACATGGCAAGCCCAGCGAACTTGACTCTTCGGCGTACAGTGTGGATGGAGGGGAGATTGGCTCTCTCAAGTACTTCTGTATCAGGGATCTTCTCTTGCCATCGGATATTAAGAATCTTTCTGAGGCTTTTGGTGTGGAAATGGTTCAGCTTCCTTGCATGTCTACTGTAAACAGTCCATGTTTCACTGCCGTATACACTTTGAGTTTAGTTGTGGCCAAGATACCTCTTCTGTCCCATACAGTAGGATGTAGCCTCCTAAATGTAGTGCTGGCTTTAGCTATGCGTTTATTGACTTGTCGTCATTAAGTACATATTGTGATAGGGAACTGCCAAGATATGTTAAGTTTTCGACTGCATGTAGTTTTGTGCCCTTGACTTATGCTATATTTGGTTCAGAATATAGGACACCCGGATGAGGCTGACACATGACTCCTGTTTTCTTAGTCCTTATTCTGAAACCGAAGATATCACAAGCAGTAGAAAATTTGCCCATACATTGTTGCATCTTATCACCACTGATTGTATTTACGCACAGTCGTCTGCGAAAAGGGGGTCACGAAGAGTGCTGTAACTGCATTTAGTGGTCGCCTTGGGGCGTCTTGAGTTGTACAACTTGCCATCTGTGCGATAGCGTATCTATGCCAAGGTCGTCTAGCGAGAATGTATCTGATAAAATTGTCGGGAAAATTATAGAGAATAGCGTGGGCGCAAGGACTGGAAAATTTCTGGACATTTCTCCGTCATCAAGGACCCGAGTCATCCTACCACCGTGGAATTGTTGCACCATATTAACGAAGGCTGGAGGGCAGCCGAACTTCGCCATTATCTTCCACAGCTCATCGCGACTCCTCGCGACTCAGGTCGATAAAGGTTGTGTTCAGTGCTTGGTGTTGTTCCTGCGCCTTTTCTTGAAGCTGACGAGCAGCAAAGATCATGTCCGCCGTACTTCTCCCAGCCCGAAATCCACAGTGACTCTCTGATCAAGATGATTAATGAGACAGTTTAGCAGCACCCGTGCCAATATCTTGCCGGCAATGGACAGTAGTAATATTCCCCTGTGGTTGTCGCAGGATTGTTTGTTTCCCTTCCTCTTGTATAGGTGTTCTATTGAGGCATCCTTGAATTCTTGAGGTAGTGACTAACTGGTCCAGAGTCTTACAAACAACTCAGTTAATCTCTGTGTGAGCTTTGTAGATCTCAGCAGGTATGGTGTTTGCGCCAGGGGCCAATGTCCTCTGACCAATGTCCTCTGCGACCTCTTGTGTATCAGGTGGTACACCGAGTTGGTTGTTCTTTTCGATTTTGGGGAAGCGATCAATGGCTACTTCATTTATTGAGAAAGGACGGTTCAGGACATTGTCGAAGTGATCCGCCCACATTTCAAGAAATTCTGAGCGCCCTGTGATCAACATTTCTCCATCCGCTGATAGTTGTGGAGAGGTTCCATAGATAGATAGCCTTCAGGGCATCATAAAACTTTTTCGAGTCATGGCGGTCTGCATATCGCTGGATTTCATCAGACTTGTCACTTAGCCACCTGTCTTGCATGTTCCTGAGTTTTGCCTGGATATGTCGACGACACTCGATGAATGCAGTTTTCTTTGAGTCAGACTTCGAGTAACGCCGGTAGGCGAGATGACGTGTGTGTTTCTCATCCAGGAGCTTTTGAATATGCTGGTCGTTTTCATCGAACCAGTCCTATTTTCTCTACCGCAGATGTATAGACATGGTCTCTGAAGACTGCCCACTTTTCTTCGACAGTAGCATTACCAGACTGAAGGCCAGCCAGCTTGTCGTGAAGATCACAAATGAGGTTCTCTACATTGATTTCCACTTTTAGTTTTGAAGTGTTTAGTCTCTTTGGTGGGGTTTCTTGCCTTGAGGCTTGCGTTTTGATTTGATGTAGACATTTAGCTTTGGAATGACTAGCCGGTGGTCGGTCCAGCATTCAGCGCCACACATGGCGTTTGTTACTCTGACATCATCTTTGTCAGCCTTTCTAGTAATGGCATAGTCCAATATGTGCCAGTGCTTGGATCTAGGGTACATCCATGTTGTCTTCTTCCTGGTTGCCAACTGAAGTAGCGTGTTAGTGATGACCAAGTTGTGTGAGCTGCATATCTGTAGGAGGAGTGTTCCATTGCTGTTACAATTCCCTATGCCATGTTTGCCAATGATACCTTCCCATGTTTCATGATCGGACCCGACTCTTGCGTTGACAGGTGGCTAAGTGACAAGTCTGATGAAATCCAGCGATATGCAGACCACCATGACTCGAAAAGGTTTTATGATGCCCTGAAGGCTATCTATCTATGACATGTTGGGGTTCTAAAGATTACGATTATTGCAATGTTAAAAAAGTGTCACGGGTCAAGAAATGTCGTGGATTTAACATTCAACCCAAGAAAGATAGAATCACAAGTCTTAATCGTATGGAGGCAGACCACCATTAAATTTTACCATCTCGGTACCCTAATTGTAGTTCGTCTATTTATAGCAATTCTCTCTCTCTCTCTCTCCTCCCCTTTTGCATGCTTATTTTTGTTGATTGTTTGGTCTCGAATGGACGAAGAGGGTTTGAATTAACATTTTCTGCCAGGTTTTGGTAAATATTCATGATTTTGAGGCGGAAGGATAACGGGGTTATCAGGTTGGCTACGGAGATATGTACGGCAACTAGTTACATGTTTTTAGTATGCTTCTTCAAGTTTGTATATCTCAAAATGTTGGTGGTCAACCTCATACAAATTTTAGTGCAAAGACATGACCATTTGTTCCTCTGTCTGTAGTGAAAAGCATTCAGCCCAACGAAAATTTTGGGAAAAGTTGAAGGTGGGCGAAGAGGCCAGAATTAACAATGAAGTCAATGGAGAAATTAATGGTGATCTGCCTCCTGTATATTGAAATTGGAGTTATCTCCCATCAAGTAGTCAGAAACTCTGGCTTTTCTCCTAATTTTCGGTGGACCGAACGCTCTACACCACAGAGGGAATAAAAATAGAATGAATTACATTCATGGGACAAATTAGATAAAAGAAAGTAATTGACTGCCTGCCTCCATAGAGACAATCTGTTTTAGAGACGTATTGCGAAAGCCTTCTTCTAACTATATGCTAGATGACTGACCTTTATAAGTTGAAATGCCTTCTACATGTGACGTCACATTCCACGGCATTTTGAATTAATTTTGTGATAAACACAAAGACTAAACAAACCTTTTCAATTTAGGAATTAAAATGTTGGTCAACTAGTTTAGTGTCTGTTCGCAAACAGACAGCGCAAGATTATAGTACATGTAGTATGGTCCACACTATTTGGAATATGATATCCATGTTGTACGGACTGAATTTATGCAAAAAGACACTGTTTTGTTTGGAGTTTTTTTGTTTTGTTTTTGAAATATAAAGAATAAAATGAGTTATTGTTTTATATTATTGTATTACGCCCTTTTTTATAAGGTGTTTTATTTCATCTTTATCCATATTTAAGAGTTGTGTTAAAACTTGGTGAGTATGCTGACCTAATGTTGGTGGGGGCTCAGGTGGGTTGACTAGTTTACTTTCACTAAACTTAACTGCTGGTGCTGAAATTAAAATCCATGACACAATTCAAGTTATTCCCGTTTATAAATCTACACTCAATGTCTCGGGTTCCCATATCATTTCAAATTGTTATTGATAGTTTCAAACAATAAAACATGACAAAAATATCATTTGCATTCCCGCAAATAACCCATTTTGTTCATACTTGTACCTAATATGGAGTACTTTGCCGACAATCGTTAGATCTTGCTATAAGGACTACATAGCGACATTTTCCATAATAGCTATGTCTTCCATAAAATTACAAAATGAAATGTAATCTAACCTGCACCGCTGACAAGGGGAAACCAGTTTAAAAAATCTCAAGGAACTTTCCGGACTAACACGGGGATTGAAGCCGCGACCTCCTTCTGGGATCAAAAACCGGACCTCCTGTTACGTAAGCCAACTGCCCACGGACAACAGTAGGATAACATTTTTTTGTGCACCTTGGGGTGTTCTGTGACTTATATGGAATATTACTAGTAACATAGTATTTGGACAGTGTCCACTGAAGGTAAATATTCAATATCTTACCTGGAAGTCTGATTCGACCTGCTGTAGGATGGTCCATTTCTTGTATTAGGTTATTGTGAAGCACCTGAAAATATAACTCATTTTATTTTAAATCCACACGACAATTTAAAACCAGCTTGTAATTCATATGTATAATAGACGTTTGGATAAGTATTGATTCGGTCTTCCAATTTGAAACCTGATTGCCTCATCAGACTGGATTATCGTCTAATTGAATACTAATTGAACCAAGTTCTGATATGTACTGTTCACAATCTGATGCGTGGTGCAATGTCTTGGAATAGTCATTACCTGAGGATCTGAAAACACTTGTTGTATAGTATTGATAGGACCATACGGAATACCAGAATCTTCAAATATATTTAGCCATTCGTCAGTAGACTTTTGTAAAAACCTGCAAAGTATTTATCATTATACCTTAATTTGATTTAAATCCATTTTGGAAGAAATGGGATTAACGATTTCGAGATCACCAAATATTAATATATTAATTGTTGCTTTGTATTTGCCTGTAGAATGCCAGTCCGCTAAACTCGTTATTGCAAACTATTGTGTCAAGTTCAACTGCCAAGGGATCTTTTATATACATTACCAAAGTGAACACGGTGCATGTCTCTTTCGATTGACTCGACACGTTTTCTTTAATGAACTGTCGTACTAGAACCGAACTTTAAACGCAAGAAAACACCAAGCTCAACTAATTCTAACCCGCGAAACATCTTACCTTTCTGACAGTGTATGGAGTAAGCTTTTCCGATTAGTTACTCTAAGTTTATTGTCAATATATCTTGGGTCAGTACACAACTCCGGCAAATCTATTAACTAAAATAGTAATGGGAAATTTGAAATTAAATTCCTGAACATTCTTAAAAATTTAAAAATTATCTTTTCACATATCCAATGAAATATTTATCACTTGGTTAACTCCAGTCTTAATATTGGTGGACAGTGACAATAGAGCATACACACTACTTAGGTAAAGTTGAGACTATCAAATGGTATTTCTTGTATATTCTTTAATTGGCATTTAGTAATTGGGACATAATCAAATAACACATATTTATGGAATAACAATTACTATGCTTTATTACACTGCGACGTTTCAGCAATATTTCACAAGTCGTTATCAAGCATATACGCAAAAAGATAAACTGAATATACAAGGTGACCCCCCAAAAATACATAACCCATAAAATTTATATTAAATCCAACATAGGTCCAGCAAATTTCAAGAAATTTGCTAGACTTAAACTTCAGTCTGTGTGCGATCATTCACCAAAGTTTCAGTTATCTTGGTGACTTTGCATGAAAATTCTTGATCTTTCCAAAATATGCCCCAAAATAGCATCCTTGGCGTTGGAGGCAAAGGTGCATGCGTCGCGCAAAATTGTCATTTACGCGAACACATTTCTCTTTGTGAAATCTTGTTGAAACGTCACAGTGTAATAAACCATAGCAATAATTTATTCCATAAAAGTGTGTTATTTGGTATGTCTTGTTTTAATGGCTATGTATCCGTGTAGGTAGTCTTCTGTGAATTACAAAGTCAACTGCACTTCGAACTACTAAACGTACTTCATACTTTCCTTGTCAAACCCACTAGCACACACATGATTCTTATTCGGGACAATCTGGTTGTGAGTCCAGTGCCCCAACCAACAACCACCGCAATTTGCATTGTTATATTACAAAACAGAAATAATATAGATAGGCAAACGTTATTGGTACTATTGTGGGGGAATGGACGTACGTGTGAACAGCTAACCCACGGTCTCGTTTACTCAATCCTTTGGGTAACCTTTGTATGCCATGTAAAACATATGTACAGTGATATCGTGTGTCTTATCTTTCCAAAGATTAAAAACAAAATCATTCCGCGCACACGGGGCCCGTTGTAACAGTTTGATCGGTGTACCCGGTTTAGCTCGATATTCTACTTTTGTATAGTTACAAAACAAAGATCCTATCCTTGACAATTTTCTAAATAATATTGGATATAGTACTGAACTAGAAATAAGCTTGGATCGGTTCAACTGCAGTTAGAAGCTGTTTAAATGTAACAGTAGAAGAAATACATAATATTTTAGTTATATATGTGGATATTGACTGAAAATGTTATCAGATATATAAATATACAAACCTTACAAACAGATTGGAATTGGTTGTTATTTACACCTCCTATTATTATATAACCATCACTTGTCTTAAATGACTTGAAAATACAAAAATGATATATATTTCAGCCAAACTGAGATCATACACAACCCGTTCAAAACAGTACTCAGTATACATGTACACATAATTACTGTTACTCTATTAAGAAATTGGGTAAGACGCTGGCTCGCTAGCCTGGAGGTCCATTTCATTTCTATTAAGAAATTGGTTATAATTAATTTGAACAGAAATATTTATTACAGCATTCATATCACTCACCTGATATGGAACTATGCTTTCATGGGCTGTACCGTACCGTTTTGCTTCCATACCAGCATTTAAATAGTTTGAACTAATATTGACCAGTGACGCCACCTACTAACAAAATTCAGAAGGTAAATCACCACGGGAAAACAATGATATGCAATGAGGGACACTTGATTGGAAGTACACACCACTCAATGGCACTATTTAAACAATCCCTAATGGACAAAAAAATTTCCAGTTGCAGTAACCTCAAAGATTAACTAGAAACCAGTGATAAGATCAAACAACTACCAAAGGACAGAAAGTGTATATCTATCAGGGACAAGGGATACCCATGCCTAGCAAGAAATAATACCGCCTGACAATACCAGAAGGTATATTACAATCAGACGAAATATATATTTCAACGGCATTCAATATATGAAAATTATAGGCGCTCTAGAATCACCAACTAGTATTCTATAAAATATTAATATGGCCTTTGATGGCTCGTCAAATCAGAGGCTAAATCTCAGTTGAAGTTCAGGAATTTATTCAATATGAAAGTCGACCGGTGCATTTTGTGTTCACTTAAATCAAATGGAGTTTGATGGTTCAGTCTATTTCTATGCTTTACACGTTTACGGACCATGGAAATATTTAAAACTGAGATACTGTTCGTTGTGGTTATAAGACTCGGGTGATAACACACAAGTCGTACACTGTGAGTCTTTTTTTTTCAACAGAATCAACATATTTTTTGAATAAGTCTAGAGAATATGTACATTAAACTTATAATAATAAACTTACCTGAGTTGCCAGCAAATTACAGTCTATATGTTGTCCTGTCCCACTTTTCTGTCGTTCCATTATAGCTGCCAAAATGGAGCCATATGCATACAATCCAGTTGACAGGTCAGTCATAGCTACACCAACTTTGCACGGTGCTCCGTCCTGTAAAGACAAAATATCTTAAAGCACAGTATCACCAAGACAATAAATGCAAACAATCTTGAAAAAAAACTTCAAAGATTCAACTAAAGGTATTCAAGCAATTAACCAAAATGAGATTTAATGTCAACTCATCACAATACTACAGTCATTTTGAGACAAAAATAGGGTAATTTCTATGTCTATAGTTAGTTTACATTGAGATGTAGAGGGATTTTGGCAAGGAAAGCGGCACTTTCGCCTAATCTACTTTGGTTTGTAACTTTCAAGGGTTCATTTTCGTGCTCTGGGCCTCTGTTTTTCGTCTAGGCACGATTTCTTTCTCAGTCCCGGACGAGCAACCTTTGATAAGAGAAGGAAGGCAGAGATACTCCGTGTTCTAAGTAATTTATGAACAATATACTTTGCCAGGTGTGACCCGGGGTTTTAAATAGTCGTACCTGTGGTCCTGTTATATGCATTAGGCCTCCAATACCTGATGCTATGACATCATATCCTGCCCGCTGAGCGTAAGGCCCCGTCTGTCCATAACCTAAAATGAAGTTTCACAGAATTCGTTATTAAGTATGGTATAATATATGGGTGTAATTTCTGGTAATCACTAATAATTAAATAATATACTGCTTATGTGATTATCAGAGGATATCCGATATAAGATAAATAGTTAAACCCTGTTGTGTCTACTCGACACAAACTAGGTCGTTTCGGGACTATCATATGGTACAGTTTTATTTCAATAATTCGCTTGCGCGTAGGGGTCTTTAGCAGTGGGAGGAAATCGAAGGACCCTGAGAAATCCCACGAGGTTGGGCAGGCATCCTAATCCTTGTCACATAAAAGCGAGGAATCGAAATCAAACCACTTGACTCAATGACCGACCTTATCGTTTCATGCGCACGCGTTAAACACACACACACACACACACACACACACGTTATGCATTGTTACTAAATTGCTATGTGTATGGACGTTTTATTAACTGTTTTACGTATAGACATGTACTAAAAATATCCCATCATATGTACAACTAATACCTGATATTGAACAGTATATTAGTTTGGGTGCTATTTCTTTAATTTGACTATATCCTAAACCCATCTTTGATAATTTTCCAGGAATGTAATTTTCTATTAAAACATCGCTTTGTTTCGCCAACTGAAAAGGAAGAAGATGATGAGTTAAATGATTTTGGGTTTAAAGTCCTCCTTTTCTGCACCAACCGGGATATGGGGGGCATATTGCATGAACTACTTTTCTGCAAATTCCAAAGGGTTCTCTGGACTTCAGTGCTTCGGACCATCAGAAAACCCAGACGCTGTTCCTTACAAGACCCTTCTTCCTGCAACACCGACAACGTTAATTTGCTAGATTAAATAACAGATTTATATTTTGCTTCCGATATTTTTTATACATTCTCTTGCTCCCAATAAGCCAATAAAATGTGTTTTAATCAAATGGGGAAAAGTAGTGGCTCAATGAGTAAGCCGTTGGGTGCTAACCTGTTGTTGTCCGATCGGGATTTCCCGGAGTGTGTCCCCATCCCCCGGGTTCCCCCCCTTGTCCGTGGTCCTGACTAGTAGTTCGGATAACCCTTCACAGTTGGAATTCAAACAAAGATTAGGCCGTAGACCTGCTGTCCGGGAAAAAAACTCACTCATAGCACACTGTATGATGTATTTATTAGCCGGGCCTATTGGGTTCAAAACAGTAGGACACTACCCCCACCCCCTTCATTTCATTTCATTAAATAAATATCAAAGTAAACAGTTGGTATATTTTGGAACAACAAGCTTAGGGCCTAGTACGGTGAAATATGAGAAAGGGAGACATTTTAAATAATATATCAAAACAGATAAAATAAACTTTTTATTTAATTTAAATATATAAAGATCCGCTACATTAATGAAGTACGGTGCCCCAAAAGAAAACTCCTTCGAACAAACACTTGCACTAATTCATTTTTTACATGGTCTCTAGCCTGGCCTAGCTTATCAAAACACGGATCCAGATTAAAACAAGCAGAGAAAATTAAATTACCTCTTTTACTATAGTTGCCCCCTCCTTCTGCTTCATATCGACTGCTATACTCTTAAACAGAATATAATATCAATACGGTGTAAATATTATTTATGAAGGCTGCATGGATACAAACAGTGATTATTAGGTTACAAAAACCGATTTAGTTTTCCTCCATTGACTGGCATTACTATTGAAAGAATCTGGAATAAATTCTATATAGTTTACAAGTCTTATCAATTCCTTATTAAATACAATAATTTGTGATGAATTCTAACCTTTTTGTTTCTGTTAACTGAGAAAAAATAGGCTGTTTCTGTTCCACAAAACGGTGGTCCGAACGATCTTGTATCATCACCTTTTCCTGGAGAAAAAAAACGATGTTCATATATAAAATTCCCATATTCAAATATATACATCTCGATAGATCCTTTAGCAGAGTTTCGAACTAGAAATATTTAGGTTCTAGCAAGATTTCAAGATGGGGAAAAGCAATACGATTGACATGATAACTGAAGCTTCTAGGTTCTAACAGGATTTTGTAACAAAGGGCATTAACTCTGGAATTTGAAAATCGTTGAAAATAAACAGCAGGGTGCCCCACGCAGTCGAAATGTGCGCTATTGAAAGTTGAAAATTACATTACTTGTGTTTTTTTTAATTTGCTTTATCATTAATTATAGCGTTAGGAGCGGCATCTTTTGGTTGAGTATAATTAATAGCTCCGTTAATATAGCCCTTTAATATACTTGTTAAATACAACATGACAGTTTATTTAGTAACGATAAATGTGAGAAACTAAGTTATGACTTGTTATACATATGAATATCGTCTTATGATTGTTTATATTAGGAAATATTCATTATGGTGGGGACTCTATATTCAGGCGCCTAAATTTCAGTTTTGGGCGGACAAAATATTATTATATGTCCTCTCGGAATGGCCAGGGTCGTAGTAGAAGGAACTCGGTAAGAACGAAAACAAAAGAACCAAAACAAAACAAACACAACAAAAAATGCTACATACCCGGTATCTCAAGTTTGATTATCTCTGCTCCTAAATCTCCTAGAATCATTGCACAATAAGGTCCTGCCAAAACCCTAGAGGAAAAGTGTAAATAATGATATTTTAGAAGGTTACGGTACTTTGATGATATTTATACTGCAAATCATTGGGAATCCTAAGGATTAATTGACTATGTTTTATCAACAATACAAACATTGGATCTGCCTACTCTTTAAGATGGGTTTATCTGATCAAGATAATGGTTGGTCAAGAAAAATATCTTTCGGCTCAAGACATTATTCCTATCAGTAGAGTAAACACACGCTGAAACTATCAATTCTCAACGCGCAGTAATTTCTCTATAATATATAACCACAGGTGCTTAATTCACGAAAACGTAAACGAAATTTGTTCAAGTACAAAGCCATTTCATACGCTGGTTGGTAAAATCTTTGTACAAATTTTATTTTTTGGCCAATGAAAGAGTTGAATTATTAAACTATTTTAGTTTAAATTTTTATAAATAAGGTTCCAGGTCGTTCAGTTAAAACTAATCTAAGAGAGGAATATCAAGAAATAAACGAAGACTAATGAAGGCAGGCCTACTCTTATTTCGAATGCCAATTTCCAAGGGTTCTTTTACGTGTATGCCAATATGCACACGGAAATGAAATGGAATGAAATGGGGCTAACGTCCTATTGGTCTGCTCCGACTGGGCTAATAAAGACGGGCATACACCACACCGTTTGCTATGAGGGATATTTTGCCTGGATAGCGGCGCAACGGCCTACTCTTATATCGAATTCCAACTGCCAAGTGGTCTTTTACGTGCACGTCCTCGTTTTTTTCGTCCCATCTGAACAACTAGACAGCTGTCCTTATCAGGTCCTTCACCCTGCATCACTGATGAACTGTCTCAGCTAGCGAGCCAGCGTCTTACTCACTTAGCCACCGTGGCCCCATATGCACACGGGACCTCGATTTTTAGTCCAACTTGGCACCGACTTGGCACCATTTCTAGCCAGACCCCGCACCACTGACCAGGGAAAACACGACGGGTCGAAACCGGGTCACACAGGTCAGTGAGTCGGCGCGCTCCAACTGAGTCACCGTGGTTCCCGGAAATAAAGAAAACAATTGGAATCACGGTGACCAATTGTGGATATCGTTTAATACCAAATAGAGCCTCGTTTTTTTGTTACTTTATCAACTTGTGTTGATATTTTTTGATATAAAAAAGACTGGTAGGAGATTCTCTATATATATTACCTGCTTATATCTAAGACTCTGAGGCCACTTAAAGGTCCCATGTTAAAATGATGACGAAGAGAAGGTTTCTTCTATTCACATTTGGTAAATTAATTACCTAATTACATAAAAAAAAGAATGAATGAAAAGTTGTACATATTTTAATATTACTATTTATTTTAACAGTAATGATTCCGTGTAAATCATCAAAACAGAAGCTGACGACATTTTAATTACGTCATCGCAGCAACCTTGGTTTAGTCAGTCAATCGATGAGCAATTGTCAAATGACCAAACATGCATAATTCATGTTGGTTATAAATAACATATCCACAAGAACAAAAAACAACAACAACAAGATTATGAAGCGTGTGCAAGCAATTTCTGGTTTAAAAAATAAGCCTATTTAAACAAATGAACGTCACTATACATACATAAGCAAAAGAAAATGTTGATATTTAGATGCTAATATGGGTCGGTTGAGTACTATTGTAATCGGTACAGGAGATCCGCGGTGTATAAAATCAAAACGGCTACCATGAATACTTTTCGGGTGTAATACTTGGTATAAATAATAGTTACGATATTTATCGGTGTTAATATCTATGCAAAGGTAACTAATGAAAATCATAGATATGATATGAGAAATCTTCCCACAAGAGCGACTTTGTATAATTATCACTAAAACGAAGTGTTCCGATTACATTTGACCCGAGAGGTAAACAGACAGGCACATACTATATGTTTATGAAAAGAACAAACAGCAAACGGTCTGTCAGTCTTAAATAGATTCCCCATCATTAACAACATATTTCTATATAATTGTGCTTATTATTATAAGTTTAGTTTTTGACCTAAAAATAATACATTACACGTTTTCTTTCATCTTCTATCGCTGGTTTCTGCTGACACACTAGTATTCAGCTATTACTCTCTTCGCCGAGTGACATATGTTTGAGATAACACAGGGGCGCGTTTTTCTATCTTAAAGGGATGACTATAACCTAAAAAAACATTATTTCTTCAGAGGCGTATCAGCACTTAGAAGAAGCTACACGTAATTAAATCTCACATAATGTTATTATTCAAAACTACCCTTTCCTGAGCCAATTTTGAAAAATCGAGGTTATAAAAAATGTTGACGAACGCCCTAAAGCTACAAACAAACATCTACTGCGGTGGCGCGTGGCGGGGGAACGGTTTGGGGCGACCGGGGGGGGGGGTCTGTGTCCGCAGTTAGTGGGGGTATGTTTTGCGTCACCTGTGAAATTTTACCAAAGAAAGCTGCACATCTGTACATTTACGACAACTTTTTAACTGACTTTTAATTTGTAGGGTTAATTATTTATCCAAAAATCTAATTTCTGGCAAAGTGGACGATAAACTGTATATGGGGAGTCTCTTTACATAAACCATTTAATTAGACCTTGGTTTATTGTTAAATGTATGTATGACCACGTTGTCTATAAATACTATAAAGGACCGCGAGCCGATATGATATGATGTTGTCTCCAACGGCATACTAATAGTAATAAATCAGATTATAATAAACTATTAAATCTTGGTCATTCTCAATTTTAACGTGGATCTATTAAATCTTGGTCATTCTCAATTTTAACGTGGATCACCGCCAGACAGTTTGTGTGGTGGGTTACCCCGACAGACGCACCCAAAATATACCAGCCCCCCCCCCCCAACTAGGCTGGATTAGCTGAAGTCCGTACCACCTAAAATGGCTTGAAAGTTGTTCAGCAGCACCACAGCGATAATGAATTACTACTGCCAGACATTTTATGCGGTAGGGTGCTAATGAAAGATATGCCCCGCAACTAGACTAGATAAGCTTAAGTGTGTAGCACCTAAAACTGCTTAGAAGTTGTTCAGCACCCCAGGGACAACAATGCCCATTGCTAGGGAGTTTGCGTGGTGGGGTTCTCCCAACAGATACGACCGCCAAGACCCCCCCCCCACCACTACCACCACCTCGCTAGGGGGCCAAATTCAAAATGTGGGCTATTTTCGGAGGAAAACTCCTCCAAAAAGGTGTGCAGTATATTAAAATATAGTTTTTCGGTGCTGCCAGTTCCTTCAGATATAAACATAAAAATATGTTCCGACCAACGGGTATTCCAGGTTGATCTCATATGCCAGTATAACGATGCTAGTAATGTATTAAACTATAAGTTTTCGGATTCACCGAATTCATATCTGAATGGCGAAATTTGTCATGGCCGAACGAAACGCCAATATGGTTCACAAATTCAATAAAATAACTAAGTTTAGTTAACCATGGAAGAAAATAGTACCAGTAATGTAAAAACGTACATATCACAGGACTAATAGCATAAATTATAATGCCATACGAACAGAAGCTATGGAGAGCGAATTGTCAAGCCTACACTATAATCCACTATGACACCCGTCAGGGTCAATTTCTCTACCAGAAAACAGAGGTGAATGAAGGATGATAAATGTTCGCCCCCGTTGCATGATACTGATGAAAAGGGAAGAATCAGACTATTCAACTGATTGCGAGTATTCCAGTGATTCAAGCGAGGGTAAGCTAGACTTATACGTGAGGTTTGACAAGCCCCAGTTAGCTTTCATAAACATTTGTTTTCAACTCGCGATGGTCCGATAGTTGATTGTGCTTGACCCTGTTACAACGTGTAAAATAGAAGGGGAAGAATATCATCGAGTTGGAATACCTTTCGGTCGAAACATGTTTTTTTATGTTTATATTTAAAGGAATTGACAACGAAAACCTATATTTCAATATATTACACAACGTTTTAGGGAACATTATGAGTTTCCTTCATAAATTGTGAATTTAGCCTCCTAGTGGAACAAGCAGCCACTTATAGGAGGAATACCCAAGCTCATCGGTTTCAGTGGGTCAAATTATTCTAGAAACCACCTTCAAACCTAGTCCCGAGAGAATATGTCCCGAATTTTACCCCACTAAATTAAAGTAAATAACCAAAAGTGTCTCATTGCGGCCATCTTGAATACTTAAATTTCCCCGAAAACCTATATTTCAATATATTACACTTTGTAAGTTTCCCGTCAAAATTAAGCTCCATTTTGAATTAGCCGTTACTTGCTAGGAGGAATACCCAGGGTTGTTGGATTCAGTGGGTCCAATTCTGATAGAAACCATATTCAAACCGAGGTCCAAGGGAATCTGTCACATATTTTACCCACCAAATAACAAGACATTGCCCCAGGGCTTCCATCTTGAATATTTAAATTTCCCCAAGAGTACCAGGGTGTCATCATCGTGTCTGTTTGAAGAACTTAATCATACAAACTCCTTAGCAATGGGCAGTGTGATTCCTGGGGGGGGGAGCTAAACAATTCCCAAGCAGTTTTAGGTGGTACACACGTGCTAGTTTGGGGCCGTGGCGGTTTGAACGACCCTGACAGGAGTACACCAATGCACAAACTTTTTTATAAACAGTATTCTTATTGAGATTTGAATCTGATCAGGGATTTGGGAACATGCATAGCCTATATTAAACCCCTCTCCCTGTCAGATATAGATACATGTACTTGTATTTACATTTATAAACAATGTACAAATGAAGATATATATATACTGTGATTGTGTTATAGTTGTCCCTGGAACCTTCTGGGGATTTCGAAAAACGAGTGGACAGTTTTATAAATATTAAGTGAGATTTCTGTGTCGTCAATACCGTACAGTAAAATATATGTATAGTGGTCTTTCATGATGTTGTCGTGTTGAACAACTTCCAAGCAGTTATAGGCGGTACAGACTTCAGCTTATAATCTAGCCTAGTTGTGTGGCGTGCCTGTCAGGGGTAACCCACCGCATAAACTGTCCTGTAGTCGTCATTCATGATTCCTGTGGTGGTGCTGGACAGGTTCCAAGCAGACTTAGGAGGTACGGACTTCAGTTAACCTAGACTAGTTGCAGAGCTTGGCATATTGGGTGTGTCTGTTAGGGGTAACCCACCGCACAAACTGTCTGGCAGTGATCATTCATGATTCCTGTGGTGGTGGTGAACAACCCCAAAGCAGTTTTAGGTGGTACATATTTCAGCTAATGTAGCCTAGCTGTGGTCTGGCAATTACATAACTCTGCCTGGGGTACCCCACCACTAGAAATGTCTGTCGGAGTGTTTTTGTAATACATGAAGATGTAAGGTACCAGTTTTATGTGGTACACTTTTGAGCTAATCCAGCCCAATAGTCCATGCCCAGAATCCAAGCCCTCACAATCACACCCACGACCAGATATTCGGCAGACTTACATTCTGATGATACCAGATATTATACATACATCGATACAATATAGGTGAAAATTGGTACACTTTTGTAAGATTGACCCCTCCAAGTCCCCCCCACCACGGGCTCCCGGTCTAATTTGGAATCTATGGTGTTTATCTAAAATTTAACAACGTATACAAGTGTATAGGTTCCTATCTATTCGTCCACAGTATAAAAAACAAATTGTCTTGGGGCGAGAGGTCAACCTATTAACAAAAATAATACTAGTTTGTAATTATTATCTGTATTATTACATGACTGCTATACTGGTAATAGTAATTTCATAGCTGGTGGTTCGCGATCACTGACATATATTGAAGGGTTAACTTGTACAAATTGTTGTGAATAAGTGCCGACACGCGATAGATCTTGACAAGATTTGATTTTTTTTATGTCAAGATGACCACTGCGTAGTTGATTTTGAGTGATTGGCGGAAGTTCTTGGTCAATGGCGTCTTCCTCTAGACGTATCTGCGCCGTAAAGGAGGGTTGATATTATATTAAAGAAATTCGATCCAAGACTTTTCCACTTTCTAGAAGAAATAAGTGTCGCGTTCCGCTTGCCTATATGTCAGACTTTTTAGCGGGATTAGTCATATCCCTCTACGATATCTCCATATTTATGTAAACTGATGCATTAGCAATATTTATTCTTTGTATTCAGTGTTACAAGCATATATTTCCTTCTTTAAACTGTGATTTCCGTGAATACAGCCTTCTGGTGTTAATTAATATCCGCCCATATTTTATTTATTAATGTCAATAAAAACAGATTATTATAATTTATAAATTCAGGTCATTAAAAAGCTACTTCAAATTAGGAAATACGCGAAGGATAAAAATTTTTTTTTTTTGAAATGATGAATTACTTGATGTATAACTGGGAAAACTCATTAATTCGTAGCATTAATACATTAATAAAAATGACTCAACGATTCTTGAAATTGAAGGGTCACTATACTAACCATTGCGGTTTCTCTGAGATAAACGGTTTCCTTTAACTGTTAAGTGTCCTGCGAGAAAGCAAATCATTGAAACCTGTATGTGTTATAATATACTATTCAAAAAAAGTAGGGGATATTTGATTTTTAAGTGTTATTAAAGTCACCTAATGAAACTGACGAAGAAACAAATGACAAAATGAAATGAAGTTCACATTCATCGATTTATTCCAAATGATCGTTAGACTAAGTAAGGCACAGACTGACCATTATAAGGGTAAAATGATACCCGGGGTCAAACAGCAAAGTTACCACAGCATCACAACCAAGTCAGTAACGGGTAAATCCTCCTCTGTTTGCCAAACAAGCATTGATTCGACGTGGCATACTCCTAATGAGACGTCTAAGGTCATTTTGGTCCAGATTGTCCCATTCCTGTTGCAACGCAGCAGCAAGTTCTTGGACATTGGCAGGACGTTGTTGACGTTGACGTAACCTCTGTCCAAGCATGTCCCAGACATGCTCGATGGGGGAGAGGTCGGGACTCAGTGCTGGCCAAGGTAATGTGGTGATGTTCTGTTGTTGGAGGTAACCTGTAACGATCCTGGCCCTGTGACATCTTGCGTTGTCATCCTGGAAGATGAAACGGCGGCCATGACGTCGTGCGAACGGCACAACATGGACTGCCAAGATGTTGTCCCGGTAGTACT